TTTGTTGTAACTAATACAAGTATTATAGTATGAGAAATTATCAATTAAAGAGTTTTGAAGACTGTACTAACTTTCTCTTATAGGATGAAGGGAGTTTCTAGCTTGACCAGTCGTGATGAAGTTATGGCATCGCTTTTGTCTCCTGGGGTGTTGTCGATGTGCTATGTGTTTTTCTTGCACGGTTAGTAACCTTGCCACTTATAAGTTGTAACCTGTCGCCCATTGTTTGTTGGGCCATTTTATCACCAACGAAAGGAAATGTCAACTATTATAAAAATTGAAGATGTTTTTCGGTATTTTAGTACGTTATTCGTATTTGAATCGGTTTTTAAGTTTATTCGCTTTTGAAAATACAGATCCGTATTTGAGTTGGATTCTAAGCTGTTTCCTTTTGGAAGTATAAAACGAGTCGTATAAAAAATCTTTTGAAAAAACTCGCAGAACTTGAGAAGAAATACAGACTTCTAATTCCAGCTCATGATTTTCTGAAAAAAAAACCAAACGAATTTCCACAGTGAATTTTACCCTAGCTAAACTGTGTAACAATAATAAAATTACGGGAAGGCTAAATGGCTGTCGAATGATTTTTTTTATAACTAAATCATTCATGTTTCAATATATTCAAAACCGTTGTTTCATACGTTATAGCAAAATATTTCATGAGATGATTTCATTGTGTTTCAGCTTTTTAAAAGATTGAAACTTTTTCGAACTATTTGGTAAAACATTTTCGATCTACTTGGTGAAACAACACCCGATTGGCTTCAAAATCGGCATGATGAAAGCCTAAAAAATCATGCGAATCCCATATAGACTTTTTCTCGATGTACTTGGATTTGCTTCATATTTCAATATAATCGGAACCATTGATTCATATGTTGTAGCAAAATATTTCATGGGTGATTTGATTGTGTTCCAGATTTTTAAAAGATTAAAACATTTTCGATCTATTTGTTGAAATATTTTAGATCTACTCGGTGAAACACTGCATGATGGAAGTCTAATAAATCATGCGAATCATATAGACAGCCCTATAAAATTAAAAGAGTATTTACCCGTTGCAACGTAAAAGTATTTTTTCTAGCATAATAAAAAATAATAGATGTAAGCATCGCAAAAGCTACCAAACATTGACTAGATAGTACTACAATAATGCATCAAGCAGTACGGAAGCAACTGAGTGTTAGTCCCAAATTGTCCATGCTGCACGAGTCATAAGTGGTTCAGCTAAGGCTTGGGCCGGCCGGAGAGCGAACGGAGATGGACATGGTGGCAGCGACGCCGGCGGCACACGTGCTCGTGTTCCCGTGCCCGGTGCAGGGCCACATCAGTTGCTAGAAAGCTACACTCGTCGAGAAAGAAGTCGGAGAGAGCGCCAAACTTCCAGAAACATATCTTACTTACACTAAATAACTAAATAATAAAAGACTAAATATATCTTACTTAGACTAAATAATATATCGTCGAGAAAGAACCTGCAAAGATGGAAATATATCTTACTTAGACTAAATAATTAAATAATAAAAGAAAGGATCTCGAATGCTTACTTAATAGAAGAAGTTTCTCCGAACCCAGAGCAGAGTGTACCGACAGCTCCGGTACTACTCCAGATCTTCCTCCTAGAAAGCTACACTCATCAAGAAAGAAGTCGGAGAGATCGCCAAACTTCCGGAAATAGCTAGTTGGAGAGAGGGTCGTGGGGGTGCGGGGGTGCGCAGGGAAGGCGGAGGAGGTGGGGACGTGCGTGGGGCGAGCGAGAAGGGCGGGGCGGCGGTTGAGGAGGGAGGCCGCCTCCGGCGGCTGGAGGTGGGGGGCGAACCCGATAGGTTGGCCCCACCTGTCGGCGCCCAAGGGAGAGAGAGAGGGAGGGAGGACTTTGGGAGGAGGAGGGGAGGGAATGGGCCGGCGGCCCTAAGGAGGGAAAAAGAGGGAAAAAGAAAGAAAAAGAGAGAATAAGGAAAAAGGGAATTTTCCAGGGATTCTTTAATGCTTGTGCTCCTTTTTAATTGGTTAAAATTATTTCTTGGGCTCTGAAAATTTCACTAAAAATTTTGTTAATGCATTAGGGCATGGGGAACTCAAGAAAAATTCCACCGCACCGATTCCAATTATTAAATGTATTTGTTAATTAGGAATTCAACTCTAGGTTAATTTGAACCAATTTCTTCAAGCAATTTATTTAATGAATTTAAAGCAAGAGAGGGGAACTTCAGGGCGTGACATTACAGCAGCACTATCCGTTTGAAAAAGTTGGTGGAATGATTCTGAAAATAGATATCCTACGTAGAGAGAAAAGTATGTTGGATTTGTCCGTTATTTTCTAGATAAGATTAGCTTGGATCTTAAGAAAATATAATCTTCCCCATTAGAAATGTATTCGATCCAACTGGACCCATCTCATTTTTTTAACGACTCATACTAGACAACACGAAGTTCATATTGTTAGAGTAGAAAAGAAAAGAGTAAAATATATGGCCGGTCCCTAAACTTGTGTGGTGGTGTCACTTAGGTCCATGAACTTGAAAATTGTAAGTTTAGGTCCGTGAACTTGGTTTAATGTACCACTCCGGTCCAAATGTCCTTTTGACTGCATTTGACCGCCAACGTGGCATGTCACGTAGGCAACACTTTTGCTCTCAGCCACCTTCACATCATAACACGTCGCATATATCTCCTTGTAGCAATGTAGTGACACTGGAATCAAAAAAAAAATCTTCAAATCGTTCTTCCCTCTCATTCTTCTCCTTGCATGTATAGAAAATACGGTCCCGATTAGCAATTGCCATTTTTCTGCGCTCCAAAATAACCTTATCCTTGCGCAACGGGTACTTGATCAACAACACCTTCTTCCGGCGACTTCAAGACAAGGACGAGCTTGGAGAATCCATGGGGATGCCTAGCGTGCAAGTCGCATTGCGCTGCCTCCCGCCGCACTGTGCCACCGCTAACCCCGCTACACTGCGCTGCCTCCTGCTGCTAATGTCACCGCCGAGGCCGCTACAGCCGCTACCTCTCAACCTCCTTTCGCTAACCTCATCGTCGAAACCCTGGCCGATTTAGAGATATTTTAGGGGATTTGGGTTGAAATGTACTCGTCAGGGCAAGTTATGTGCGAAAGTACATGTAGAGGGGGCTGAGCACAAAAGTGTTGCCTACGTGGTATGCCACTTTGGCGGTCAAACGTGGTCAAAGCACGATTGGACCAGGGGTGGTACATTAAACCAAGTTCACAGAGCTAAACGTGTAATTTTTTAAGTTCACGGACCTAAGTGACACCACATCACAAGTTTAAGGACCGGACATGTATTTCACTCGAAAAAAATTACAAGATTATAATCCTGAGAGATCTTAAACAGGAAGAGAAGAAAAAAAATAGCCACCACCCACACACCGACAACTCCAACACATAGCCTTGGTAGAAGGCTAGCACATGACCAGTCGCCGCTAAGCGTGACCGGCCATCACTAGGCCAACAAAGGAGTACAAGTGAGATCGCCCAAAATCAAACCCTAGCAACCGACACCAAACTCCACTCTAACCACATTTTCGGGATTGAGGGAGAGAAGGTGAGAGAGAAGATGGAACCGCTATCCCCCTAGATCCTCTGATGTGGCCATCTTGCACAAGTTAGGGCGCCAACGCAGGAGGAGATGAGTCTAGAGCGAGCTTGCAGCAAATGTTTGGGAGAATGGGAGGTTTCTACAAGAGGGCTGGCAAGACGACGTCTCCAGGGAGAGGAGCGACGGAAGCACCGCCACTGCCATCCGTCAAGGTCTCAAAAATAACCAAGACTGGTTTTCACCCGACAACCCTGCAAGAGGAGATGAGACGGCATAACAACGCCCTCAAGAGGGGAAGTGGCTCGAAACGACTTCGTTGATGGCCCAGCCAAAACAGGGCTAGGTTTTCACCCACTGCCTGTGGCTTGCCTATGCACAGCTAATACACCATTGCTCCACCATCGTCTAAATCTATGTCGACATATGGATACCGCTGCACCGGCCAGCCTCCGCATGCCGCCACATGATCACCCTTGTCGCGCGCTCCATGCCAGCCACCAGCACACGTCCTCACGATGCACTGGCCTCCCACCGCCGACCGAGCATACTTGCGCCGCATCGGCGTCCGGCCTACTGCCGCGACCTCCGCGCCGAAGCCCACGGCGTCCACCCAACACCGCCGAAGCCTCCCTTGCTAGCCACTGGCACCAGCCTTTCACTACCGTCGGCGTTGTCCACTTGTAGCTGTCGTCTCCGCCGCAAGTCCATAACCGGCTGTCAAGGCCACCGCACCAGCCGCTCGCCGCGCCAAACTCTGCCGTCAACGCCTCCACCCGCGCTGGCTACTCCCTGGCCAAATCTGCGCAAAGGAGCTGGCTCTGGTTGCGGGGGTGAGGGAAGGTATCTGGTCGAGGCGGTGCCAGATCCGCTGCCCCACGTCGGAGAAGCCGTCGGCCACCGCCTCCCGCCCGACGCGCTCCGCTCCACCTCCCGCACCAAGGAGGAGCAACGCCAGCTCAGTTTCCCAGCCGCTGCCTTCCCAACCAGCCGTGCAGTTTTTGGCGACGGCGAGGCAGCAAGAGAGGTGAGGAGGCGAAACCCTAGCCGCCCGCGCTGCCACGCGAGAGTGACGCATGACGAAGCTTACTTTACTGTATCTCATCTCTTGAAACAAACACATACGTAAGGAAGAACCAACATTCTCTTGCGCGATATAGTTTGCCCCCGCAACAGTTGTGCGTTTTTTTCTTCGATATACAATACATATGCTCAAATATACGTGTTCACACTTACTTCTATAAACGTATACACGCACACCCTACCCCTAAGAGCAAATCTGAAGATTGGGCTGATATATTTTAAAGCTAGCAACGTTCCCCACCTCCGCAAGAAACGATTTGGATGACATGCAAGTAAATGATGGGATATCTCATCGAGGGATTAAAACATTCTTTCCTATCTATGTTCTTCCCGGAATTAAACATATTTTTTCTTTTTGCGTAACTGAACAGTTTGATGTGTCAGGGAAGGAACAAATCCCTCACAGCCAAGACAAGGCTCATCTGCAGCCTACCGTAATGTAATTACATTACTTGCTTGAAAGATTACATCAAAACACATGGATTCGAAACCAAAATGAGAACAAATTAACGCCACACAAACAGAAGCTGTTCGTATTACACTGTGAAAATTTCAGAATTCATCATATATTTACGTAGCTAGCTACGTACTCTTCATCCTTGATCGCTGCAACCGCCGTCGTGCTCAGCTCCACGATGAACTCCACGAGCCGCTTGAACTCCGCCGTCGACGAGCCACCGTCGGCGACGTCCCGCCTCACCTCCCGCGCCAGCGCCTGAGCCGACGCCCTGATCTGGCCGGACTCCATCGCCTCCCTTACCATCCTCGCCACAACGGCGGCGTCGCACACGTCCTTCATGTCCAGCCCCGTCCTCCACACGCCGCCCACGAACCGGCTGTTGATCTGCTGGTCGGTGAAGAACGGCCAGCACACCATCGGCACGCCCTCGACGGCGGCCTCCAGCGTCGAGTTCCAGCCGGCGTGCGTCAGGAAGCACCCCACGGCGCGGTGGCGCAGCACGCCCCGCTGCGGCGCCCACTCCACGACGCGCGCCTTGCTTTTCCCGGCCGCCGCGACGGCTTCGCGGAGGGCGGCGCTCTGGCTCGCGCCGACCATGTCCGGCCGGAGCACCCAGAGGAATGGGTACCCGGCGGCGACGAGCCCGTGGAGGAACTCCGTGAACTGCTCGAGCGAGATGACGGTGAGGCTCCCCAAGCTGACGTACACGACGGACCCGTCGGCCTGGCCGTCCAGCCACGCCAAGCAGCCGTCGTCTTCCCGCCACAGGCTACCGCCGGCGGCCGGCGCGGTCGGGGACATGGCGTGGAGAGGCCCGATGGCGAAGACGTCGCGCATGTGAGGCGCGATATGCGCGAGCGCCGCCCGCTCCATGGACGCCGCCGTGTTTAGCACGAGCGCCCGTGCGTTCCCGCTGTGCGCCGTGAACCCGTACACTATCTGCAGCAGCGGGTCGTTGTCGGGGTCGCTGCAATCCCGGCACTGGCTTGGTAGATCTCGCCGGCGCAGGAAGCTCTCCATGCCCGGAACGCCGCGCACCGGCTCGTCGAGGTCGTCGCCGTCCTTGAAAGGGAGCTCGCCTAGCTCCAGCAGTCTGGGCAGGGACAGGTACGCCAGGAAGCTGCACGCGCTGTCCGTGCGAAAGGCGAGCGCCGGGATGCCGAGCTCCTCGGCGACGTCCACGGCGAACGACATGATGCCATCGGCGACGACGCAGGTCACCGGAGGGAACCCGCCGGTAGCGTCACCCAGCAGCAGCGAAGCGAGCAGGGAGCGGTACGCGACGCTGGCCTTGGTCTTCAGCGACTCCATGAGCTCCACGATTCGGCCCACGTCGCGTGGGTGTTCGACGGGGAGCCCGTCCGGGATGGACACGTACCGGAGCCGCGGCGACGACGCGGCGGCGGCGCGGCGGAGGTTGTGGTCGCTGTGGAGGAAGGTGACGTGGAGGCCAGCGGCGAGGAGGCCCGTGGCGAAGTGGAGCATGCAGGTGATGTGGCCGTGCACCGGGCACGGGAACATGAGCACGTGCGCCGCCGGCGTCGCCGCCACCATGTCCATCTCCGTTCGCTCGCCGGCAGGCGCAAGCCTTAGCTGAACCACTTATTCGTGCAGCTGCAGCATGGACAATTTGAGAACTCAGTTGCTTCCGTACTGCTTGGATGCATTATTGTAGTATTATCTAGTCTACGTTTGGTAGCTTCTGGCGATGCTTACATCTATTATTTTTTATTATATTTGTTTTCGGTGGTGATAAAATGCGAGAATGCTGAGTGCCGGACGTCCGACGGTTGAAGAAAAATCGGACGCTCCGTGTCGCGTGCGCCTCCTGCCTCTTATTTTAAAACGATTTTTCTCTTAAACTAATTATCCAATCTACGATCCGATCACACCGTTGTATTCATTGCAATTAAATCTTTACAACAATACCACACATGATTATATTTCGATAAAAAAATATTTTAGCTTTTCTATTGATATTTTTTTTGAATATTGCATATGATTTCTTTCGATGTTTCAACCAATAGTTTTACGATGTTTCAGTTAGTGTACTTGTAATGTTTCACTATGTACGGATCAAATGTTACAGTGGATTTTAATATTATGGAACGCGCCGTTGTAACAAATCACCCACATATTTTAGAAACCCCCTATTAAGGGAATTTGGTTTATTTTTTTGAGTAAAATGCACCAGCAGTACTTAAACTTGTCAGGAGGTTTCACTTAGGTCCACGAACTTGCAAAGCGCACATTAAGGTCCCTAAACTTGGTTTATTATATCATCCCGGTCCAAAACCGTGTTTGACCATGGTCTTGCCTACGTGGCACGCCACGTGGATGTAGCGCCCGTTCCGTCGTGGCGCCTAGCGGGAAAATTATCTCCGAAAAACCCTAATTGCGAAATTTGTTTCTTTGATTGTTGTCTAGTGTCCGTGCCACCTCAAGATCTCAATCCCCGATCTATCATCGAGTTCTTTTCCGAATCCAATTCCTTCCAAATCGAATCCCTCCGCAAAAGTCTAGTTTGCCTCCCCCGGGTTCGATGGGCCGAATTCCGCTCGGCCCATCTCTTCCCCGGCCCTCTCTCTCCCGGGCGTCTCCCTCTCTCTCTCTCTCTCTCTCTCTCTCTCTCTCTCTCTCGCTCCCTCCCCACCCCGGCACGTTTCCCCCCCCTCCCGCTCGCTGCTCGCGCGTGCGAGAGCCGCGCCGAGCGCCCCCTCCTCTCGCGCGAGCTCCCCGCTCGCAAAGCCGGCCCCGCGCGCCGTTGCTTGCGCGCACGCCTGCGTGGTTTCCCGCCCGAGCCGCGTCGTCTGCGCCATCCGCGTCGCCCGGTCCCGCTGCCCAGCCGCGCCGCCCGTTACTTCCCGCGCACGCGTGCCGAGTGGCCGACCGCCTGGTCGCCGCCGCCCTCACCCTCTGCCGCGCCAGCCCGCGCCTGTCGCCCGTGTCGTCGCGCCGCTCCAAACCATCCCACCGTCATCGCCGTCGTCATCGCCCGGCCCCCGCCAATCCGCGCGCTAGCCTCCAAGGGGCGGAGGCAGAGAGCCCCTCTCCCTCTGCCGAGTCGCCCTGCTCCCTCCTCCTTTTCCCGAATCGGCAAAGGGGCGAGCCCCCTTTCTCTCCCTCCTTTTCCTCTTTTTCTCCCCTTTTTCCCCTCTCGGCGGCGTCACCTCCTGTCGCCGCTTTGGACGCTAGCCGGAGCGCCAGCTCGCCGGCTTGACCGCCCATGTCGGTTCCCCTCTCTCAAACCGACATTGCCGCCCATTTAAACCCGTCTTCCCCCTCCCTTCCTTTCCTCTCCCATTCGCCTCCTCACCGTTGCCGCCACTCCCGTGCTCTGCCTCGCCTCCGCCGTCCATCGCCAAGCGCCGGGAGAGCCGGTGCGTTCGTGGACGCGGAAGGGGACTCCGGGCGCGCCCTCTTCTTCCTCTTCCTCGGCACGAGGCCGGAGAGATCACTCCCGCGCCGTCGGCCTCTCGTCACAACGCCCCTCCTCACCACGGTAGTGCCTCTCTCCGTTCCTCCTCCTCGCTCCATCTCCTCCCTCTAGCTTTCGGTAGTAGCTTGAGTAGCCTCCCCGTAGTTAGCCGGCGCCGCCCCGACCGTTGCCGTCGCTCGCCGTGTGCTCGCCGCCGTCGCCGCCCGAGCTCCGTAGCACCCGCTCGTCGCCGGCCTCGCTCGGCGTAGTTCCGCCCAATCCGACGCTAGCGTCGAGTTCCCGAAGCCGCGTAGATGCTCTCACCGCCGGGAATCGACCTCTCGTGACCTCGTCGCCGTTTCCCTCTTCTCCCGCCGCCGGTTGCCGCCGCCGCAATCCGCCGCCGTCGAGCAACCTCCGGCGAATCCGAGCCGTTGGCTCGCCTCCCCTTGTCACGTGCAACCGCCCGGTGTGCTCGCTGTTGCCCGTAACGCCGTGGTTCGCTCCGCCGCTCGCCGCCGCCGCCCGCCGTCCATTCGCGGCCGGGTTGTCGTCTACCTCCCGCCGGCCCGCGTGGCAGCCACGTAGGCGCCACGTCGGCACCAGCTCAGCCAGACCGGGTCGGGCCGACCCCGGTCGGTCCCTCCGCGTGCGCGCGATCCACCGCGAGCCGTGAGGCTGCGCGTGGGCCCGCCGCACCTGCGTCCACCGTGGACCGCGCGCATGCACCGCGTCCCTTCTCCGCCCGCGCGCGTGCGTCGCGTGCTCCCTCCGCACGGTGAGCCGAGCCGCTGACAAGCGGGTCCCACCCAGGACCGCGCGTGGTGAGCCCGGTCCACCGGACTCTCTCTCCTCCCTCCCGCACGCGCGCGCTTGGGCCGTCTTGGGCCGACCGGCCCGTTAAGATCGGCCGGTCCGCTCCATTTCCCTTGGGCCGCGCCCTAGCCGCCCGAGAGAAGTCTACTTCTCCTCCCTCTTCCTTTTCTTTCTCAAAAAGGATTTAATTTAATCCTTTTAACTTTAGACCAAAAATCCAATAATCTTAGAAATTCAATATCTTCCCAACCGTAAATCCGTTTGACTCCGTTCAACTTCCAAAATTCCCCAAATCTCGAGATCTATCTAATGGCACGCTTGGAGGTCATTAATAGGGCTTTATTTTCGCCGTTTGTTGAGTTGTCCCGTTTCGCGTGTAGTTTCGAAGCCCGAAGACCCGCAGTGCGAGGATTTCGAGGATCAAGCTCCAGATCTCGAGCAAGGCAAGCAACCTTTGAACATCTTGAGCCTATATTTGAAATTTAATTATATTGCTTGCAAAATATTATGCATTGATAGGATCGCACTTAATCTTTTGTCCCATCTGCAAGGCAGATTGGCGGACCTACCAGACTTGTTGCATTTGATCCTTCCATTGTTAATTGCTATACTATGTCCCCTTGTAACCACCCAGTTGCGCCTCGATAATCGTGCACTCTGTGCGAGAATCGACGGTCGCATTCAAACTTAAAATCTGAGTAACAACTTGGGTAAAACTGGAGTTTTACAAAAGACTTGGAAAAAAAAAACCCGACACCTGGGTCGGTGCTTGTGAACTAAATGAATTCCCAAAACCGCGGACCGGGGAACGTACCGGGTGTACGGTTTCCCGCTCTTGCACCTAAGGACCGTTTCCTTGGAATTTCATCCGAACATAAGACAAGTACGACCACATGGGTGGAATGGGACACCCCTGGCTGAGTAACTAGCTTATCAGGGGAGCCTTGATGCCGAGAGACATGTGGATTCGCCGGGGTGGTGTCGGGGAGGACCCCTGGGCTTCCTGGCACAGTATGGTCTGGGACCTAACCTGTTGTTGGTCTGAGACCCCTCTCGTCGGCATATGGTAAACCTGTGTCGGCTTTCGAAATGCCTTGTCATGAAAGCTTGGAGGTCTCCCGACGTGGCTGATCCCCACGGGCTGGATGATCCGGGTTAGTAATGTCATGTGGGTAAAGTGTACCCCCTCTGCAGAGGTTAACAAACTGTTCGAACAGTCGTGCCCACGGTAATGGGCGGATGTGAGGTGATTCCTAGCGTAGTTTTGTTTGACTACTGCTCGTGAAATTGCTGTTGTGAAAATGGGTTCGATGTTTGAAAAATCAGCAGCTGACGGGATCAGCTAGGCCCGGGTGGCCGTTTGGAAAGTTGTTGGCCCGGGTGGCCGTTTGAAAAGTTGTTGGCTCGGGTGGCCGTTTAAAAAGCTGTTGGTCGGGTGCCAACCTTGTTTCAAGATCTAAAGACTGATACATTGCACATACTCCGACCGGACGAGACGCACTGTCTCATTCGTGTCGTTTGAGAAGCACTCACCTAGTTATTTTAGAAAAAGAGTTCAAATAAAATCAATTGCAAAAACAACAGCCTTTCCTTGAAGCCTGCATTAAACACTTATTTCCCCTGGCTTGCTGAGTACTCCCGTACTCACCCTTGCTCTATATAAATATCCCCCCCCCCCAGTTGCTGAAGAAGATGAAGCGGATCCTGCTGATGAGGAGTTCTTCCAGGAGCAAGCCGGCTACGATGAGTTTTAGGGTTTCGGCCTAGTTCCCAAGTCGCGCCTGTGATGATTGGTCCAAGTCCGGGCTTCCGCTTTCCTTTTGTAATGCAGTTGTGAGCTCGGGATCTGTCCGCAACCCAACATGACTGTACTTCTACTCTATAATAAAGAGACCTCTGTTGCTGTGATATTCTGTCTCCCTGTGATACCAGCACTGTTTCCTGGGACTGGTATCGATTAACAGGTTAATTTGGAGCGTCACGGGTTAGTTCCGGCCGGGACTAGTTCGGAGCGTGACAAGAGATGGTATCAGAGCACAGGCTTGGCCCTAGGGCGAAACCCGACGCTTAGGACGACCCTAAGGATACTAAGTTCAAAACTACTTGCGAAAAGCTAAGGTCTCTTTTGTTTTCTTTATTTTCAATAGTTTGTTTCTAAAATGGTTACTGATCTTTTCTCCCTCTTTCAAAATTGTAGATGGCAGTGAACGCCAGCTTCAGTTCCCACGGTTTTGGTGAGGGTCACCACGTCGCTCAGCTTCGTGACCTCGCCCGTTTCCTTGGCTTCTCGTGTCCCGAGTACACGGGGTACTCCGTGGACCGTGTTCCCCCTCACTGTGAGCTCTCTGTGTACCTTTACCCCCGTGGAGGTATACACGGAGCTGGCCTTCGTCCCCACCACTTCACTGTGGCCAGGCCCACTCTCCAGATCGCGTACCAGGACCTCTCCTGGACTGCGCTTCGTCGCCTGGCCCACGA